ATATGTATATATTAAACTTAAATTAAAAAAAAGCAGCTTAATTTAAAAAAAAATTCAAATATTTTTTGTCGGCACTTGCTATCTTTTCCCTCCATTCCCGATCCGAACACAAACCCAGGCAGGGTATGGCGGAAGCTACATCTTTCCCGTCGATCCCACCGCTTGCAACACTCTCGTCAGCCGGCCCACTGACATTGAAGGGGAAGTGGGAAGGGGAGTTCTCCCGCTTTTTCGTCATCCCCCGGCGGCAGTCCGGCACCGTCGATAACGTCCTCCGACAGCCTTCCAACTGCGCAGTGCTCAACAACAGAGGTACCTGGCTCACTGCATCCTCGACGGCGACCATCCTCATTGTCAAGGCGAGCTCCTCCAATGACTCCGTGCTCTCGATCTCCGTTTCTGGCTACGTTCACGTCAGTCCCCTCTGTTCCCCACTTTTCGTTCCTGCTGTTTTGGCTGTTTAGTCGATAGGAAGTTCAGGATTCATAAACTACACGATGCTTGCATGTAGATAGTTCTTGATGAGATTTTGTTCCACTTACATTCCTTATTTGATCATTAGAATGTAGCTTGTATGCTTTTTGGTTTAGGGAGGTTTTCTCTATTGTTATCTTAAGGATGCCTCTGATGTTGGAATCTCATGGTTATATGATTGGAGGTGTCATTTCATTAGCAATTCTAGATTATAATGATCTATGCAAGCCTGCAACAAATTATTTATATATTTATTTGCTATATTCGGATTGTTTGTTCTGGATATTTTGATTTGTAGGATATAATGTGCTTGAATAGAGTCATAATTTTTCTCTGGATGATTGCAGGAAGAGCATATAGTTTCCAGTCTCAACTTAACGTGGCCTCAAGTTCACTGTGTGCCTCAGTGGCCAATTAGAGGCAGCAGACTGGTTTTTATGAGTTATAGGGATTGTTCAAATCAGGCAAGTGGAGCCACCATGCTTGAATCTGGATTTAATATACGGTGCTAATTTCATTCTCCTTGATGTTGGGTTCCTTTGACTTTATTGCTTTGTTACTTCTGCCACTAGTAGTGCCAGTAGCATCCCTTGGCATCGTTGTGCTATTTCACTGGGAAAAATATATCATGCAATATTTAATAAGAAATTCAATGTTCCGCAGTTCCACGCACAACCTTTGCTGGAACAAGTCTTCTAGGAGGTTATCTTTTTGTTTATTGCGAATTCAACATACTGTTTTACTGTAGAGTTTGAATCATAGAGTGAATTATACTGATTTATCCATGGATGCTTTTCTACTTAGGTTGCAAAGTTTAGGTTCTTGTGATTTTTGTTGTAGTTTTAGGTTCAGCTGAAGCTTTGAAATGACTCTGTTTGTCTTGTTATTTTTATTTATGCGTCAAACTTAAGATGACCTTGTTATATCATGCTTCTTTCTATTCATGTCAGATCCTTATATATTTTGATCATGTTATCTTAAGGCATACTGAAGTGTCTTGTTATTATCAAGATGCAAGTTTCCCTGGATCATTTTTGATGAAGAACAAACTCTTAAGAAAATATAATTGGATTGACTGTTATATTATATGCAATCACGAGTTCATTCAGCATTGAATTCATTAAAAATCTTTGATGCAAGATTTTTAATTTCCATATCAAGATTTGTATATGAACATGCTAGTTATGCTAAGCTAGAAGTTTGTTTGTCATGACATTATGGTCAAATACTTTAAAATGCACCATAAAAAATGTTTGTTGAACTTTACTCGAAGGCACAACTAGCTCGGCAAGTCCTAGGCTATCAATCAAGTTCATCCAATTTAATCGACGCTCTAAGACAAGTTTCTCCAATGCACATACTGGAGGATCAACTAAGTTCATTGGACTTGAATCGTCCACTTGGTTGAACATCCTCTTGTATTTTGGTGTCAACCAAACTCATTTTACTTGTCTATAGGCTTTTGGAAAGATCTTTCATGCCTTACATGGATTTTGGTCTAGTTCAGTGTGTCTGACCAAATGCTTTTTGGAGTGTTAACTCGATATCTTTCGGTGTTTAAAATAAAACTTGATGGAATGCCAAGTTTAGGTGTGTTTCTTGATTGACCAAGTTCAATTAACTTGCTTGAAGGGATCTGACATAACTATATTCTTGATTGATCAACTTTAGTGAACTTTTTTTTGGGTGCTTAGGCACTCATTTCTACCTATCTTGATTTATTAAGCAAGTTCGGTTAACTTAGTCGATACAACCTTTTCATACTAAAAAAACTAAAAATTTTTGCAGAATATTTCTCTTGTCATGTATGCTTTTTTGACTTAATGAAATTGAAAATTAAAATATAAAATCATTGCCCAACTCTTTCACATTGGTTTTTGACTTCAGTATCCTAAGGAAAAATGTTTCCCGTGTCACCCTCTAGGTTATTCCATGCATAAGAAACTTAAATGCATTTTTTCCCATTAAACCAAGATTTTAGAACAAATTTCATTGGCATACTCCTTTGAGCCATGGAATATTATTTCCAAACAAAATTTAAATATTTGGAGAAAGTTTTGGGTCAGTCTCATTTCATGTTAGCTGCTTACATGCTCTACAACACCTCTATATATATTTCTTTTATTTGTGCATGAAATATCTTCGACAAAATCTTTCTTGTCTTTGACACAAAAGGCTCTTCATCTACAAAAGCTCTTTGGTGATCTAATTTTTTGAAATCTTCATCTTATGTTTGTGACCTTTCAAGAAGGATTTTGTCTTTTTAAACTCATTGAGAAAGCAATTTAACACGCGGTGCATTTGACTTTAAAATTTCACCCTTTCTTTATCAATTGAGCTCAAAATGGATGTTCCCCTCTTCGTATCTTTTATCAACATTCTTTTTTTTTTGTAAGCTAGATAATGCAGGTATCACATTTTACTCTTGTTGTTCTTTTGTTAGGGTTAGTCATGAGTTTGGAGAGAAGATAGTGGTTTGTTTTCAGCGTTAAAAAAGAGATGTGCGCTTTGATTGGTATCTAAGGGGTTGTTTGGTTTACTGAAAATGAAGTACATTGTAAAACATTTGCAGAGTACTGTTATTACAATATATTTGAAGTACTTTATGGTTGTTTAGTTCATTGTTAAATAAACTGCAAAATTTTATATTTTTTTCTTTGGTTTGAATTAGATTGAAAATAATGCAATAATTTATTTGGGAGGTGAGCGGTAGGTGGCGAGTGACATACGGCTGCGGGCTGTGGGCGGTTGGTGTGTAGTTCATTGAGAGTGAATTTTAAATTCGGTCAAATCGGCCGAATTCTAAACTCAGTCAAAATGAACTAAGGAGTGAACTTTAAATTCATTGATACTTTAGATTGTACTTGTACTTCTTCATTCCAAACACATAATTTCATCAAGTCCCTGTAAATGTATTATAATACACCACAAATCCTTCCAACCAAACAACCCCTAAGAATTTGCAAGAAGCTACATTTAATTTAATTACAGAGGAATTTGAGGTAGATGCAGTCTTATTGAGAAACCACAACAACTAGAAGCCTTTATCCCACTAAGTTGGGTCGGCTACATGAATATTTTTTTCTTCATTGTGTCCGATAGTGTCATATTTTCATTTAATTCTAATGGAATAATATCATTTTTTTATACAATATGCCCGAGTCTTTTTAGGTCTACCTCTGCCTGTCTTAACATAAGTCGAATCTAAAACATCTAATCTCTTAATAGGATCATCCGATGGTCGTAGTTTAATGCGACCAAACGATCTAAGATGACTCTTTTTAATCTTTTTCGCCATTGGAGTTACACCAACCTTATCATAGATATATGAGAAACCAAATCACTAAAATTCTTTCGCTTTTATGATTGTGTTTCGTTTTTCTACCTTCACTCTGTTTTTATTTTCATTCTCGCATTAAATTTTGACAAGTAATTACCATTCAATATCATCTACATTGTTTGTTTATTAATGACATACAATCATTTATTGATGTCATTAGGTGATGCCATCAATGAAATGGTGTTATTTGCAGTTGATGCTATTTACACATTATCATTCATGTTGATGATGCTTGGAGATGTGTTTTTTTTTTATACTAATATAGCTAGAAAAATTATCAATCTTGCATTACTGACCCCTACCTTACTTATAGTCGATGAATTTGGTTGCCATATAAAGAATTGATCGCTCTTGAAAACTTACCAATTTCATTAATGCTTTAGGCTTATATAGAGCCTTACCACATTTACAAATAAATCTTTAGACCAAGACTTCTCAAATTTACCAGTAGGATATTATATTAGATACAAATCTCAATACTCTCCCTCAAGCTGGGCAAAAGATATCCATCAAGCTCATCTTGTCACATAACCTAGACAAATCTAATGAGCTAAGTTCTTTGGTGAGGCAGGCAACCACTTGCTCTTCAGTAGCTGCATGACTTAGTTCTAGTAATCCGTTGTTCAGCCTTTCCTTGATGAAGATCCTATCAATCTCCACATGTTTGGTTCTATCATGTTGCACCTGGTTGTTGGCGATGCCGATTGCTGACTTGTTGTCGCACCACAGCTTCATTTTGAGCTCCTTGATCCATCTAGAGCTCTACCAACAAGGCTCTCTGCCACATCTTCTCAGCCACTCCTAAGGCCATGTCCCTATACTCAGCCCTCATGTTGACCTCGTTTCTACTGACTCTTTCTTGCTCTTCCAAGGGACCAAGGTGCCCCTTATGAACATGCAATATCTTGATAGGGATCTCCTGTCATCCATACAACTCGCCCAGTTAGAGTCACAATAGTCCCAATGCTTATATGTCCATTCCTGAAGATCAACCTCTTCCTTGGTGCACTCTTCAGGTATCTCAAAATCTGACATGCTGCATCCATGTGACCATTCCTAGGATCATGCATGTAGAAACCCTCCACATTTATTGCAAAGGATATATCGAGATGAGTGTGACTCAGATAGATGAAACAACCTACCAACCTTTGGTACCTCTTACGATCAACTGACTCCCCTACCTTTGCACTCAACTTTTTCTTCTGATCAATTGGTGAAACTGCAGACTTGCATCCCAACATGCCTATCTCTGTGAGCAAGTCTAGCACATACTTCCTCTGAGATAGAACAATCTACTCTACTCCACTAGCCATTTTAATTCCGAGGACGTATCTAAGTCATCCTAGGTTTTTCACCTCAAACTCTTTGCCTAAACTTACCTTCAACTGAGCAATCTCTTTGCCATCATCCCCAGTGACGATCATATCATCCGCATACATAACAAGAATAGTAGTGTGACCACCATGTCATCAAAAGAATTCTGTATGGTCGACATTGATCTGTTGATAGCCCATGCCTACTATTGCTTTCCCGAACTTGTTAAACCAAGCCTGAGGAGATTGTTTCAAACCATACAGTGATTTTCTCAATCTACATACCTTTCCCATTGTTTGGTTTGTGTCCAATCTTGGGGGTATCTTCTTGTACACCTCCTGTAGCAATGAAGAAACATATTCTTTACATCTAACTGGTGTAATTAGGACCGTAAAAATGGCTCATTGTTTGCGAACAACTTGCATTTGGCTCTTTAAATTGCCTGTTTGATTCGTTTTCTTAGCAAACGAGTCAAACATGAACAATTTTTTTGCGCTTGATTTAAAAATGAGCCAAACACAAATAAAGTTTTTGTTTGATTGTGTTTGACTTATTTTGGCTCGAAATAATTAAATTACATACATACATACATACATATAAAATTGAATTTACTATAGGGCTATAAAGATTTATAATCAATTAAAATTATTAATAAATAAAATAAAATAAAAGTATATATATATATATATTAAATTTTATTAAAATGTATATTTAATATAAATAATAAAATACAAATCTCGTTGCTATCCTTAACATCCTACAGTTGTGTGATTAGGGTTATTAAAATGACTTGTTCACAAATAGCTCGTGTTTGGTATTTTTTAAAGAGTTGAATACAAAAAGAATTTGGGCATCACTAACTCAGAGCTGAGGGAATTATAGAACGCCATTATACTCATAATGAGCCTACAAAGGTTCCAACTAATATATTCCAACTAATCTTAATGATTATTATAACCAATCAATGTAGCGAAAAATTATGAAACCAAGAAGAAATCAGTACCTAGTTGATTGCCACTAGCTGGGATTACCTTCTACCATGCTATCAATTCTCATCACTAACCCTTGAGGTTTTTAGCATGATGAAATCATCATTTATTTGTGATGAGGTGTTTAGATGGAATGACTTGAACTTGAATTCTACTGTATCATAGATTTTTAATGCCGGATTGAGAGCTATGATGAAAATATTAATCATTGTTTTTACATTGGGGAGTACAATTAAAATTATTGAGGATGTATAAATACCCTTTAATCATTGATTGAGAAACTTCTTCTTATCAATCTTAATCTTTTAAGAAAGACAGATGAAATATTAGTTATTGATTATTATTTATTCGCAATGAAGAAATTTTTTGATTATTAGATTTTTGTTTTTGGACATATCACCCACACGCATTGAATAGATTATGTGGAATTAGACTTTACAACTAAATTGAAGTAGAAACGTGTCCCCTTTTATAACCTTTAATTTCATTTATTTTAGTTAATCACTATGTATCACTTTGCAACACTTTGATGCAATACTAAGCGATGGAACCTCACCATGTTTCTCGGACCTTTGGAAAGAAACAAAATTCAAGCTATGATTAAAAAGATGATTTTTTTTTTAAGTAAATTTTCTTTGTAGAATCCATAAAAATTTTACAAGGAAAATTAACTTAAAAATTTGATAGATTGCATATTATCTTGAGAATAATGAAATCAATATGGTTGCTGATTAAAATTTAAATATTTGCTTCTAATGATTTAAATTAAAATTTTTGAAATCAAATCAATCCAAAATAAATCTTAAAATCAAACATAAATTTAGTCCTATGGTCTCAATGTTATCCATGTGCCCCATGATTTTTTTGAACCCTAGTTGACTAAAGATCAAATCAAGATGATGTGTTTAGTTTTGAGCTATTCTAATTTATGTTGGACATGTAAACCCGATTCTTATTTTGAAATATTCTATGAAGTGACCCAAAAATTACCAAAAATAAGGACAACCGTTTTTTAATTAATCCTTGGATGGTTAATCTATTTTATTATTCTAAGCAATTTAAAGTTATACCATGTTAGAATTATCTTACTAGTCCTCCCTTTATGATTTTCATTTTAATGGAAAAGGTACTTCCAACCTTTCACAAGTAGAACTCTTAGAAAGGCAATTTTTGAAAATAGAAAATTCTTCCAATTGAAGCCTTGTACTTGGTCTCAAAGCTAAGTTCCAATAGTTTTCAAAAACTTATGCTTAAATAAATTGTTATTTTTTGAGTTTGGATATGGTTATCATATTATTTGTCGTATGATTTGATGTTGATAATATTATGTGTGAATTGCTGTCTGAAATTGCTTCCATAGTTGCTGTTGGAGCCCTAAACATAAAAGAGATTAATGAATGCAACATAAAAAAGTTATCATCGATTACCACAATATTTTGTATTAAATTATTGCAGTTTTCTCTTTTTTGTACTCATTCAATATATATTTAGGAATGATAGCAAGTGCGATTCATTTTTATTAGTTTCAAGTATGAGCACCATCAATTTTTTTTGCTTTCTTGAAATTGATTTCTATGTTTATATGTACTACTAGGATGCTCATATCAATCTATGTTTATATCACTAAAAACTTTTGACGTTGTGATCTTGTAGATCCAGAAATTTGCGGTGAGATTTTCTACGTGTGCAAATGCAGAAACATTCGTATGCTATTTTAAGGTACAAATTTAGTTCCTCTTCAAGTAGAATCTTTATATATTTTCCTTAACTTGAATTAAAAAGATTATTATGATATGATGCTCTTCATTCTGTAGCAAGATATGTTGATGTATTTTTCTAACTCCATACTTTCAAGGAAAGCCACAATTAAATATGATTACTTATTTTTGGATGATCAGTCTTGCACTATTGGTGCTTCCAAATGCTCTCGATATTCAAATACTTTTTTATTATTATTGAAGTTTTATGTTTCATTGATATCGCTATTTATGCCTATGGGCTTTCAAGCATATGGGTTGAAATTTTAACTTAACTAGTAGGTATCATTCTTTAATTATATGTGACATTGCCAAAAATAAAACCCTTACAATGCCAAAGATAAAATCCTTACAATGCCATTGGTGCTTTTATTGCTGCCATGAAAGAAACAGGAAAACGTGATCTCAAAATTTTATGTTAACTATAGACAAAACCTTTCATAAGATGTTCTTGAAATGTAAATCTTTTGTAATGTTGCTTTGATTACTCTGATGAAAAATGAAATTACTTGGTGCATGTTCTGTGATGATTATGAGTATAATAAAATAGGATTTCATTTATGTTTTATTGTGTGTATGTCATTTCAGCTCAGTCAGTCTCATGCGTACAATGCTCACTTTGGTGTTCATACTCATTGGCGAATGCATAGTTACTAGCAAAACTAAAGTGTAGTACAAGATGATGCTCACACTTTCCTGAATTTAGATAAATACTTCTATTGCTTGTGTTTAACATAATAGCTTTGTCCCCCTTATATATAGGGTAACTTTTTACTCTCCACTAAAGTTACCCCATCTAACTTGAAATATTAGTTTTATCGCTGTATATAATATATGCTTATGTTGACTTTACGCCGTAACTTGCCATTCAAGTTTTGTTCCTGTGTTGCTCTCTTTGATTCACAGGCCTGTTCAAGCGATAACATGAATTTTACACATCCAGCAAATTATTTTTTGTGTGATAGCTCCTCACCATCAGAAATGATCGCCTCAAATGCACTCCAACATAAGTAAAGGCTATTTTCTGTTTTATCATTCTTCATTAGCAAAGCATTTAAAGCTTCAATCGGTTTCTTGCACGTGGGGTTTTGTATCCTTAGATTTAATGATGGCGAGAGCTATGAAGAAGCCATAACAAGGGATATGCCTTCCCCAGTTTTTAGCCAGAATGAAATACACCATCCTTCTCTTCTTGTCAATAGCAGTAACGCAATAGTTTCTAGCTTTCCCCCAAGTTTTACAGAGCAACTGACCAATTGTTCAAAATATCCGCCGCATGGTATGAAGCATAAATGTCATAGAAATAGGATTTTTCATAACACATCGTATAATTTATGTTGCTTTGACTATTAACTGTTATGCAGAGATCAGCAAGCAACTGGAAGAATCTGATCATACACTTGGGAGTGGGGTATTGTTTTAGAACTGCTTTTTTTCTTTATTTTCCCAAACAGATTTTCTAAGGCGGTGTTTGGCGGCGATACGGATTTATGTTAAATAGGATTTACTAAATCCGATGAATCTTGGGGATGAAAATGGAGCTCGTGCAAACAACGGAGTAATTCTTTAAAGTCGGCTTGTAATCAGATTTATTAAATCCGAATTTACGTCCTTAAATTGACGGAAAGCGGGAAAAGCAGATTGAACGCGTAAAAAAATTAGTTTAACAAGCTTCATTTTTTTTTTAATGTTTGGTTGGATTTAAGTTAAATTCAGTGGCTAAATTCATTAATAACATGCTACCAAACACTGTCAAAACCTCTTAATCACTAGTAATTTACCTGATCTTGCAGGAAAGTGCTATGCATTTATCACCTCAGCGTAAGTTGACTACCGAATATCTCGTATTCATGGTTTGCAAAGACGGAAAAAACTAATGTGGATATCCTAACCAAAAGCATTTTTATTTAGTTGAAAGCATGCATTTTTATTTTAGAAGATATAAATCAAAGAGCGATTATTGCATTAGGACACCCGATATAAATTTGCGGTTGTAGGCCAGTGGGAGTTGCCACGTGGCAAGTGGGCCTCACTGTAATACACAGGTTGGGTAGATTTTGTAGAGGGGTGAGACCCACTTGCCACGTGACACACTCTCGCTGGATTCCGGATGTAAATTTTACGTCCGAAGTCCGGATGTAATAATTTTTCTCAAATCAAGATAATTGTATATAATTTTTGTTTATAAGAAAGAAAATAAATAATAGCTTGCTTTGCTAAACTAAAATTCTCCCGACAGACGAGATGTGGCCATGTCTTTTTGATATGATTGCTGTAGTTTACATGTTTATTAACTGAACACAGATGTTACCGAGCAACTACTTGAGGCAGATATTTTTTGTTTTTTTTTTTTTTTTTTTTTTTTCTAATTAATTTCTTTTTGTTCGTTTGGTCACATTAAACGTCGACCATCTGATAATCCGATCAGGAGAGTAGATATTTTAAATTTGACTTATGTAAAGAAAGACAGAGATAGACCTAAGAAAACTTTTGGTCACATTAAACGTCGACCATCTGATAATCCAATCAGGAGAGTAGATATTTTAAATTTGACTTACGTAAAGAAAGACAGAGATAGACCTAAGAAAACTTTGGCTTACTATGATCTTAATTTATTAGAACTAAATGAAAATACACACTAAATAGGACGCAATAGAGAAAAAGTATTCATGGAGCCGACCCCACGTAGTGGGATTAAGGCTTTGTTGTTGTTGTTGTTGTAATGTCTTTCTGTTCCCTTGAGAGTGTAGTGTTCTGGCCTTCCAGAAATTTGAGCATACTTACAAATGTAACTTTTAACTCACTGGCATTCTGAAACAGATCTGCTGTTCAAAGTCGAAAAGGTGGTCCATGAACTGGGAGGAGACCTGTCACTTTGAACTGCATCAAAACCTTAAAATTCAGAATTTCAATGGCTTTATTTTGCTGTTTCTTTGCTTTCGATCTATTATCGCTTAATCAGGGAGTAGATCTCTTTCTCCTTGTTGATAGATGTCTTTTACTTTTTATTTTTGGTTCTGTAAAGCCATTACTTGTAATTTGCCAAAACTGTGTTTTCTTTATAATAAGCAGAGGTTACAGTTTTGAATTCTACAGAACATTTTTGAATTTATATTGCAGCCGGTTGAAAAGATACTGTAGTCCATTTCTTCTGTGTTTTCTTTATAATAAGCAGAGGTTACAGTTTGGACTTATACATAAATTTTACAGAACATTTTTGAATTTATATTGTAGCCGGTTGAAAAGATACTGTGGTCCATTTCTCTACTGTAGTCCATTTCTTCAAAATAAACTAAATAATGCGCTGCCTCATACGGACCATAAATATTTGAACGAAATTATTGCATATTCTGAACGTGTTTAAGGGACAATTTATTATTGAAAAAAGTTCTTGCAGCTGCCTCCATTGAAAGTCGAGCATACAAACAACATGTCGCCATGAAGAACAGCTGCATCCATTGAAAGTCTTCGAAGGACTGTACAATCAAACTGGAGAACTATATATGATGTGACAGCCAGAAGTTGACAGTTATGAAAGCTGGAGGCGCCAATCATGACATGGGGGAGGGGTTGGCAGGCCATCTTTGTGGGCTCAGAAGATTTCTGAGGTAATTCATTTAAAGATTCCAAGATCACTGCTATAAAGAATATTGAGTTTTAAAAGTCTTTTAAATTAAAATTTAGATAAGTAAAAAAAAGGGGCCCATAGGTTCACGTCACCTAATAAAGAGCATTTTGAAAGATGAGATATTATTTCCAGATGATGGACGTGTAAGCGGATGTGTGGAACACGAAAAATATTACATCCAGATATCCGAATGTCAGGACAACGGCCCAGATGCAGCGGAGAAAGAGAAGAATCGACCTCCTCCCTCCTCGCTGCATCCGGGCCGTTGTCTGAACATCCGGAGTCCGGATGTAATATTTTCACACACCATGACGTCGAAAGCACGGCATGACGGCATGGTGCGATTTATATTATCGTCTGAAAATCATAATGAGAAAAAAAGCTTTTAAAGAGAAAAACTCATAGTAAAAATAATGAGAAAAACCTTATTCTTAAATCATAGTAGCATGAAAGAAGATTAGCTACGAGACGTGACAGAGAAGCACAAAAATTTTCATTAAACACATTAAAGATATATATATAAGAGAGGACACAAATTTACACTTGTGTTTTGTAGAAGCAATGGTGTATGTCAGCATTAATAATGAATAGCATTCATTGGTGGCTATAGTAAGATTCAAAATTAGTTAATAGATGATTTCTAGTAGTAGAAATTAAGGGTAATAATATTTGTTGATAGTTTAGATTGGATGATGATACTACTATAAATCAAGATTAGATGAAATTAGACTTCCCATAAACCATCATTAAACCGTATAAAATCAGCTTGATATTTCCGACGCATGTGAAGCCATCGATTATTCCACCAGTTATAGTTATTTTTCCCGTAATGACATCTAATGGTGGTAATAGTGAGAATTAGTATTAATTAACAATCACATCTTATAGTTGATAGTTGATAGTTAACGATTACAAGGCACATTTTATATAGAAATTTTGTATAGAAATTCAAAGTTGTTGGGAGGAGTTACAAGCCTTCATGGCTGCTCATATGTGTGGTGGCTAGAATATATAATTGACAAATGCATATAACATTGTGTAGTGGCTAGTTGCAATTATGATGGTGGGCTTAAAAATAAAATTGAACAAAAAGGTAACAAAAGGTGGGAGTTGAGTAGTTGAAAATTTTTAAATATTAATTTATAAAATAGAAAAATCTAAGTGCACTACAAAAAATCTCATTATGAAGTTGGTATTTGAAATCATAATTTTAGTGAAGTTTCTAAAAATGTGCATGCACTCTCCTAAGATTAATGTGAATCTCCTCTTAAAGTCATGAACTAAGTGATTCCTACCTTGAACATAGTTTAACAAATCAACAAAATTGATACATCATCTTAGATAAAAATTGCATAAACATTTAACTTAATGTTCATATAAATAACTAGTAAATTTTCTCTAAGTAATATGAATGGTGCTAAGGTTTCAAAATCTAATAAAATTTAATAACAAATAACTGGTCCAAAAGAACCCAAAATGCTAGAATCTAATAGTTATGCATCAAATATGATCCTAATGCTCATTGGGAAGCATAGGTGGTTAATAAATTTTTTATGCATAATGCACATTTTAGCCAAGCCCAAATCTTAATTTTTTAAATTATTATTGGAATTATAGTAATCATGCTTTAAAAGTTCTAAAAATCAAGTAGAGTTATGTGAATTTCTTATAAAAAATTTTAAACTTCCGTCTTATACATGTTAAAGAACAAATTTCTCTACTAGGCTCGAATATTTTTTCTAAATGAAACTAAAAACTATTTGGAAATAACAAAAATTAGGCTCTAGTATTTCTTGAAAAATTGAGTCATTTATTCATATTTTTCTAGGTTTTAATAAAAGAGAAGCATCTAATGTTTATAATCCAAATTATTAGGCTTTAATAATCATTAAGGAAGGGGTTCACTGTCTTTATTTAAATGACTTTGAAATGAGACAATAGTTTAAAGTTCTTTTAGTGAGGTTGAAATTTTTTTGTTAAAAACTTAGCCCATTTTAGAATTAGTTTATCATTAAAGAGATATGTGTTAAGTTCCAAATACCAACATCCAAAAATTTTTTTTAAGAAAATAACTTCAATCTTCATCTAAAGGGGGTTGACTATCTTTATTTATCTGAATTTATATTAATGAAATATCATAAATATCTTTGCTAGACTTTAATTTTTCTTTTATAAGGGACTCTATCTTCCCTCAGCATGATGTCTAATAAAACTAAGATGGAATTTAATGTGATGATGAGGCACTAGTGGGTTGGTGTAGAGAAGATAAAGCTAAGTGATTATTATCAATTAAGAAGGCTAGTTGTTGCACTTATGACTTGTTTTTTTTTAAAAGATTTTCATTGATTTTTTTGACAATAACTGGTATTTTCTTACTTTCCACCTATCATTCAACAAGCTTATCTACTCTATATTTTTTTAACTAATTATGATTCTCTTAAAATGTTCTTAGACATGACCAAAAAAGTTTCTTAAGAGAATATTTGCTTTTTTAAATTTCAATGTTAAAATATTAATGTTTCAAGTTTTGATGAATTTTTAGGATTAAATCCAGAGTAAAAACATTTAAAATTTTTATTATTTGGCATTCATGCAAAGATCTCCTTGATGACATCTTTAATGCTTAAATATTATAAAGTAATTTTGAAAAAAAAAATCCAAGCTAATTTGCCAGCAATAAAATTTTAAAAACTTTAAAATACCATTTCATTATTGGGTCTATACAATTCAAGTTTGTTTTACTCTCCTTTAAGAGTCAAACGTTTTTAGGCTAGAACATTTATATTTAATTGATTTCAATATCTTTTGTTTGGTCCATCGTCCTAAACTAACAATCATCCCAAATAGTTTTTTTTTTCTTATCCTAAAGTTATTGATTTGACTGAGATCAATCAAACCCTTTTTTATAGTCAATTTAATTATGTTTTAGTAATTTTCTAGGGTTAGCACATATCTTAGCTTAGATAAAACCCTAACTTAGCACATACACTAGGTTGTTTAAGACTTGCCCGTGATTACCATTAGAAATAAATTATAAGTAGATAAGAAAAAAATTTTAAATAATTAGATCTCTATCATGATTATGTTGTTGTGATGAACTATAGTACTTAACCTTATGTTAACTTAATTTTATCTTAACTAAATTATGTCTAATAAGTTTTTTTGTGGGATAAACCCTTTTTGTCTTCTCCAAAGAAGTAATTCTAATTTCATTCTAAACAACTATTTAATCACTTGAATAGGACTATGCTTCTAGTTTAAATTGTCTACGCCCTTTGACCCATATGGTAACTTAAATTACTTAATATAGTCATACTTAACCGTATTAATTAATAGTAAAGTTATAGTTTTAAATATTTATTAAGAATATTGTTTTTATCTTCATTTTCAATTATTATAATAATATACTAAAATATATTTGCTTTAATATTGATTATTTGAAAAAAAATGGGCATTTTATATATTTTAAAATTAGTATTTTTTATAGAAATCATTACATATTTATTGAATTTTAACATAAATTTTATTCCATATATTCACTGAATTTTTTATATGAATTTGGTTTCCATGGATTCACTAAATTTTTTATATGGATTTGGATAATTTGCATACCATACTTTTCATTGAAGTTGAAATTACTATAATTTTAAATTAATAATTATTCTTATTGAAACCATAAATGCCATTAGATATTATTTGGAGAGTTTTAGTATTTATCTATTATAATCTCTTTGAATAAGTTATTTTAGCCAATTGAATAAAATTTAAGGGGATTTTTTTCAATAAATTTTGTCATGTTTTGAGAGGCTATTGATAGAAGACTTTTAGATGTGTGTTAGGTGTGGGATGAAAAACTTTTAAAAGACTTAGATTTTTTATCTTTGAAATTCTTGTCACAATCATATCATTACTTACAATAAATTTTTGTACACTAGGCTTTTGAGTTATTATTGCCCAAAAAATAAAGACCGTAGGGCTCTATAGGTTTTCTTCACACTATAAGAAGGTGCTCTTATGATAGTTAGATTAAAATTATGGAATTCTAGATAGTGGAGGTCTAAGCAAGAATATAAATAAATCCCATAAAAAAAATAAAATTTTGGTGTATAGTCTCTTCCAAGGCTTTACGTAACTTATATTTTTTTAAAAAAGTATACTTATTTGTTTTAAATGAAAATTCTAATTTCACACTCATTTTTATAGTATATAAAGCTTATTTAAAAGACTTCACTTTAATTCTCTCTTGGTTTTGGCATACATTTAGATTTTATCACATTTTTTTTTGTCTTAACTACCAGTAACATATCCACTCATTGTGACATACAATATTCTCCTTAGCAGCCTAAAATAATACACCGTGTAAATATTAAGAAATTTCACGAGTCAATTTTTAAGAGGGTAAGATCCTCACTTTACAAACCTAATAACCATAAAATATAAATTCACCATCAATACAATAGATCATTAGGAAAGTAAACTTTGATGCTCATGTATATGAATTTAAATTAGGACT